CATTAACGTTACCGTTCAAGAGAAGCATAACAACCGTCTGAGATTCGCGTACCGTCCTACAACAATTGCAAAGGGCAAAAATGTATTTGTACTTGTGGGAAACTCTTATCAGAAGTATTATCCTTCAATGAAGAGGTGGATTAAAGTCTCACAGGGTCTTGATTTGCTCGTGGGTGAGGCCAAGCAAGATAAAGTCATCCAATGGGGCGAACCCAACCCGCTTTTGCCACATATCGAACCATCTGCTAAACGACGTGGCGTGAAGGAATTTCTAGGTGGTGGTGGCTCAGGCGTTGTGATGGAGGATGGCACGCTTGTGTTTCCTGTGACGGCGAGGAAGAAGGGGAAAAAATACTTTCTCTCCATGATCATTTATTCGAAGGATGACGGCAAAAATTGGGTGCTTTCACAGGGGATGCTCCCCGTGGGGTGCACTGACCCCCTCATCGTTGAGTGGGAGCAGGGGCAGCTTGTCATGGTTGCCAAATGTGATTCTCTCTCCAAGGTGTTCGAGTCGAGGGACATGGGGGCAACGTGGACGGAGGCTGTCAGGACACTCACACGCGTGCATCCCAGGTTTTTAGCAAACTTCTTGCAACTGGATTGGAGTGTGGCATCCCTCACCACTGCCACCATTGCTGGAAAGAAGGTCATGCTGTACACTCAGAGAGGATCTCCTTCTGGAACTACGGCACAAGATACCGTACTCTACCTTTGGTTCACTGACAACAACCGCACGTTTCGCCTTGGACCCATTTCCATGGACTGTAGAAGGAAGTGGACGTTAGCCAACACCCTGCTGCACTCTAACGATGCGTTGCACCTTTTACAAGAGAAGGGTAATGACAGGGAAAGCAGCCTGGCTCTTGTTTCCCTAACGGAGGAGCTGAAGACGATCACGTCCGTCTTGGAGACTTGGGAAAAAATAGACTCCTACCTCTCGAACTCGTCTGTGCCCACGGCCGGTCTGGTTGGGTTCTTGTCGGATGCATCGGGTGAAGGAGCGTGGAACGACGCGTACCGTTGCGTGAATGCAATTGTGACGAATGCAAAGAAGGTCGAAAATGGCTTTAAGTTCACGGGGTCCGAGTCATACGCCATATGGCCTGTGAACATGTGGACGCATCACTATGTGCACAGCTTTGTGGATTATGAGTTTACGCTTGTGGCGACGGTGACGATCGATGAGGTTCCGAACGAGAGCGTTCCTCTGCTGGGTGCGGGCCTGGAGGACGATGAAAGCACGACGTTTGTGGGGTTGTCGTACACCACAGAGAAACGGTGGGAGACAGTCTTCGACGGCATCACGACAACACACAGCAGCGCTTGGGAGCCGGGGAAGGAGTACAAAGTGGCGCTCATGCTGCAGGGTAACAAGGGCTCCGTGTACGTGGACGGCGTGCTTGTGGGGAATACTAACAAACTACCAACCCTTAGGTCACGGAGGCATGATATCTCTCATTTTTACTTTAGTGGCGGCGAAAACAGCAATGCGACAGTAAAGAATGTGTTTTTGTACAACCGCCCACTGGATGCGATGGAACTCAAAACCGTTGACGACTCCGATGCCTCCGAGAAACGTGTTGGTCACCTCTTCATTACCTTTTTGAAAGGTATTGGTAACAGCTTGAGTGTATTTGTGAATGGTATTGGTTACGGCCTTGTTAAATTTTGGGAACGTGCAAGTAACAGTTCCGATGCATCTGAGCAACGTGCAGATGACAGTTCCGATGCATCTGAGCAACGTGCAGATGACAGTTCCGATGCAGCTGAGCAACGTGCAGATGACAGCTACGATGCAGCTGAGCAACGTGCAGATGCCAGTTCCGATGCATCTGAGCAACTTGCTGGTGACAGCTCCGATGCAGCTGAGCAACGTGCAGATGACAGCTACAATGCAGCTGAGCAACTTGCAGGTGACAGCCTGACTTCACCCATGCAACGTGCTGGTGACAGCTCCCATGCATCTGAGCAACTTCCAGGCGACAGCCTGACTCCACCCATGCAACGTGCGGGTAACAGTTCCAGTGCCTCTGAGCAACGTGTTGGTCACCTCTTCATTACCTTTTTGAAAGGTATTGGTAACAGCTTGAGTGAATTTGTGAATGGTATTGGTTACGGCCTTGTTAAATTTGGGAAACATGCAAGTAACAGCTACAATGCCTCTGATCGGCGTGCAGGTGACAGCTCCACGCTTGCAGATGGGTCTCGGTTGTTGCTGCTGCTATTGGTGCTATGGGGTTTTGCGGCCCTGTGTTGAGTGGGCCCCGGTGGAGGGAGTTTATGCTTTTACTGATAGCATCATCGTTTCTTCACCCACTTTTTAAACTAAAAGTCTCCCGTAGACACGCATTTTGTTTTATCTTCCTCTTCGTTTTTTTTCTTGTACCCACAAATTGCGCAGTCCTCTCGGCGCCAGTACAACGGGGTCCTCATGTATTCTATTCTGTCCTTTTTTGTTTGCCGTATTGTTTGCCTCTAGCAAT